TGCAGACTCGGGCAATTTCGGAATGCCATTGAACACCCTGGAGAAATGAAATTCAAGCGGCTACGTAAGGTATGTCTGTTAACTTATCATACACATCAAATCTTTCATTCTTTTGGGTTGTGTTCATCATTTTCCCTATCTAACTACATGAATGTGTCTCATTCCAGGGAAATTCAGCAATCCAGCGCAACATTCTCAACTATGCAGGTATTTTCTTTCTTCCCTTCAGTTTTCTCATAAGTCCTTTAACATATCATTCATGATACCGTGCACTAAGACAATGATTTTGAGGTTTGCAGCCGCTGTGGAGATTCTTTTCCTGGTTGGATTTGTAGAGGATATTGTTTCTGAAGGCACAGGACAACTAGAAGCGTATTTGGTTCTGAAACGGAACGATCCAGGCTTGTTGTGGCTTGCCAAATCTTTCCTTGAAGCAAGCATTTCTGCATAGCAAATCACAAACACTGCACAATGAAGATATATAATCTTGTGTAATTGTTGCCATTGAGTTTGTATATGATATGTAAATGTATACAGACAACACTGCATAAACATACCATTCAGTGCAATTGTTGGCATATCTTGGGGACAGATGAAGAAACTTCTGCTCTTTTGAGTTTTATAAGATGTGGAAATCCATTCAAAGTAGTGGAATGTGAATCTGTATCTTGATCATTCTAAAGCAGAGTGCAAAAACTCAAGATCATAAGGAGAACTATGGTATTGTGGAACTGATTCAACATATGTGTTCCTCTGACAGAGACCTGTAACTTAGAAGAACTGCAATACAAAGAAAAAGAAAACACAGATGCAATCTCTCAAAGTGAAACTCTTGAGCATGCACCATCATATACAGAAGCATTCTTGCAACAATATGTAAAAGCTCTGCAGATGTTTCTGAACAAGTTAGGAGCTATCCATGGGAATATCATTCCCAGTTTGGTTTGGTGGGTTCCCCGAGAAATGGCTTGTTGCTTGAACCGCACCAAAAGTGAATTCTCGAGGAGCACCAGAAGGTGGGCTCGAGAATATGGATGCCGCAGGAGCGTTGTTAAACAGTAAGGCTTGAGGTTGGTCATTGACCTTGGGGAAGCCAAACCCGAAGGATGGAGCATCAGCGTGGGGAAAGACGTTTACTGGTGGAAATATACCATCGTTTGATCCGAATAACCTGTGCTCGTACTCTTGCAGCTGCTGATAGAATTCTGTAATGGAGACAAGAAACATCATGATGAGCAAAATGTATTAACATGGTTTCATTCTGAAGCTGAAATTTGTGTTTAGAGAGTTATTACCTGGACTTATGTCCGTAGATGGCCTTCGTTCTTTCACCCACTGATAACTCTGATCAAGTCTCCACCCTTTGCGTTTCATCAAGTACCCTATCACTATTGCTGGTGATCTGTAGAAAATACGAAATCCCAACTCAAAACAAACTGGAGAGTGGAGATGGATTTGAAGAAAAACCTCCATTCTCTTACAGTACAGTGGAAAAAGCATATTTGATTGCAATTCTAGGGAATGAGCTGCAAATCAAAATGCTTATGCCTTATGGAGTTTAAGAGAGAAAAGGATAACTAACCTACTTTTCCCCGACATGCAGTGCACGAGAACACGGGCCTTATCCTTCTCACATTGATCTGGAACAAGATATCGAATATAGAGTACAGAATGAAATAAAACTTTGACAATTCAATGAGAAAATCGAATGTAATTCATGGTAAAGAACCAGATTCATATCTAATGAGCAAAAGCTTATGTCATGAGCCAGAGGATCAGACCTAAAAACTGGACAGCATCATCAAATTGTAAAACTTTCTCATCCTGAAGGCCGTGGTAGGTGAATGAATTCTTGTAGAGGTTTTGACATAAAGGCACCGTCTGAACACAAGGAACCGAGAAATAATACCCGTGTAAGCGTAAACAACACATGGAACAGATTTGTTTTGATTTCCGTAACAAGAATCTGTTTAGTAAATAACCAAAGGCAGCTCTGGTTCTCCAACAATTGCACAAAAATGTCGTTGCAAAGGAGTGGATGAACAACTTCAAGAAGACAAAGCAAAGTGAACTGCCAAACTTAGGGAGATTCGTCATAAGCACATGCAATAATGGCACGTTAAGGCACATGTGAATGGGACAATGATCTATCGGAGCAGACTCGGGCAATTTCTTTCCTCACTGGGTAAACCATTAATATCAAGAACCTCAAGGTCGGTTTCTAGCATCTTCCCTGCTGACATAATTGTTATTCTCTTGATCTCACTTATGAAGATTCGTCATAAGCAAATTCAACAATGGCACGTTAAAGGCACAAATAGGAATAGGATCTATCAGTGCAGACTCGGGCAATTTCTTTCCTCGCTAGGTAAACCATTAACATCGAGAACCTCAAGATCGTTCCTAGTATCTTCCCTGTTGACAGAATTGTTATTCTCTTGATCTCACTTATGGAGATTCGTCATAAGCAAATTCAACAATATCAAGTTGAAGGCACACACGAATAGGACGAGGATCTATTGGTGCAGACTCGGGTTCTTTCCTCACTAGGTAAGCCATTAACATCACAATCCATCAAGATCGATTCCTAGTATCTTCCCTGCTGACATAATTGTTAATCTCTTGATCTCACTTGAGATCCTCAAGATATAAACTAGAATTTCATGCCGGACACTTTGAAAAACCAGATTGGAGATGCTACTCAAACCAAAAATAGCAAGAAAGATACTATCTTGAATGGATTCAACTAATGATCGATTGACCTAAACCAATCATACAGAGGTAATACTCCAAGTTATAAGCTTTTCTACGAACTAGACACACCCACGATCCAGGAACCAAGATCAAAGATAACAAAACTCACGTTGAGAATGTGGGAAATCCCCTGAGTCTTGAGAAGTTCAGAGCGGGAGGCGTTGTCGTAGCTCCCGAGATAGAGGAACTCGGGCAAGATCTCCGACGGGAAAGCGCTGACGTGGAAAGCCCCCGGTTTGTCGGAACTCGCCGGCATACGGTGGCCGCAGATTCCGCAGACCTCGCCTTCCTCGTACTTGTGATAATGCCCGCAGACCGAACAAGGGTTCTCTCTCTCCCTCTTCCTCATCTCCCCCAAAAGAGAAAGGAAACGGAATTTCAAGGGTTTGTTGGATGATACCTAGATCCGAGCAAGGGTTTCAAAATCGAGAATTGATGGAAACCCAGATCGGGAAATCGCCTCAGGCTCGACGATCGAGTCCTGGAATCCTCGGGAGACCGAATCTTTAAATACTAGGCGTGTTGGTAAGAATCGTGCCGGGGTAAAATCAGGGTGTCTTTGTCGTATGAAACAGTGTATGGATCTATGTGAAGCTTCTTCGAAAAGGACAAAGAAAAGAGTGGAGATTTTAAACGGAATGACGATTGAGCGTTGGTCTACGGAATTGAACAGCGTATTATTACCATTATCCGTCAAGAATTCGAGTCCGTCTTCCGTGTCTAAATGTCACCACAAAATCTATGGCTTGTGGTGAGGAGATAAAACGACAGGACACCTTTAAAGGTTGCAACTTTTTAGCAATGACACATTCACTCACATATATCAAAGACTCCAAGTTTTTAAAGCTCTCCAAAATAGTGGTATAAAGATCATTCCTTTCATTCTTTAACTCCAATGAAAATGCCAAAGTTTGAAACTTTTTATCAAAGATTTGCGGAATAAAACGTGTTATTGTTTTATTGATGATCTAATAACCTTAAATATACAACGTAGTTTCTTCTCGATATAACTCTTAATTCATATCATAATGATAAGAATATATAAATTTAGTATAAATAAGAAACACACTGATATCTAAACTCTATAATAATTCTTTATATTTCCCAATACTCCCTCCAAGTTCAAACGTGTATAACACATTTGTGATTGGACGATTTTCAAATTTTGACTTGAATGTTTATCATAAAATCTTCCAAACTCCAAAACGGTTATACAAAAAGAAAAAAAAATCAAACGAACGACGGCGGTGCAACAGACAACTACGCAGAAAAGAATCGTTGGCTGACAAAACAATGTCTGACATAGAGAATTGCAATAAACATCTTTGTCGATTTTTTTTTCTAATGATTAGGGAGAGTTATGAGATAAAACAAATCAAAACTAGAAAAAAAAAATAGAAAAAAAAATCAAACGAAAATCCACAAAACTAACTTCTTATTCTTCAAATCAAAACCTAAACCTTCAAAATCATATTGTTGATGTATATGGCATATAATAATCGTCATCATCATCATCCTTGTCTTCAATGATTGTGAAATCTAATAAAACTTCAAACCCTTAAAAATATAATCAACTCTGATACCATGTCAAGATTTGTGGAATAAAACTTTGTTATATTATTGATGACCGAATGATATTAAATATACAACGTAATTTCTTCTCAATAGAACTCTTAATTCTTAACATAATGATAAGAATATATAAATCTTAACATACTTTTTATATACCGACGAAAATGTTAGAAACAAAAAATTTATTACAACAGGAAAGTTTGTAATTTTTTTTTAATAAAACGGATATCATAGATCGAAGTTCATACTAATTACGGGACCGAGAATTATTTATGTGATTAAAATTACACACAGTTAAGGTGAAGATCGGGACCGAACAAATACTTCGATCAGTTTTATCGATTGAATTATCCAATTTGGTCAAGTTCGCAATATCATACATGCATAGAGAGGCCACAAACCAATGGACAAAAAATATATTAACTTTTTTTAAAAAAACTGACATAGAAAAAACGATTAAGCTCTTAGAAATGGAGAACAAAAAAAGGTTCTAGAGAGAGAGAAGAGAATGGCGATGTAGGAAACTTCCCGGTGTTGGCATGTGTTGTTTCAAAAGGACAGTTTTTTTTTGTTGGGAAAAACCTATTTACTGATGACCGCCTCTCGAATTATCGATCTAACTTGAAATTATTCCTACTGCACCAAAAACGTCAAGGCAAAATTTTCTTAATCGTTTCATTTATTTACTGTAGCTTCTTGTCCCTAAAACTATCACATTCTCATCTCTCCAATGGCGAGCTCTTCCATTCGCAGACTCTCCCATCACCCATGTCGCCTCCGCTTTACCCACTTCTTCTCTTCTTCTTCTTCACCTCGCCGTGTAGTTGTCACTGGTCTCTCTCTCTCTCTCTCTCTCTCTCTCTCTCTCTCTCTCTCTCTCTCTCTACATGCGCATATACGTAATCGCTGGTTTGATATTGATTCTGGGTTTTGGTGCAGGCATGGGCATGGTGAGTCCACTAGGACGCGGCGTCGAAACGACATGGAAGCGTCTAATTGGTGGGGAATGTGGGATTAGGGCATTGTCTCCGGACGATCTCAGGATGAACTCGTTTGATGAGGAGACGAAGTTGTATACTTTCGATCAGCTGTCCTCTAAAGTTGCAGCCTTTGTGCCTTGTGGGTCAAAAACAGATGAATTCGATGAAGGGTTCTGGCTAAACTCAAAGGTATCTTATAATTTCCTTCTCAGCCTAGTCATTTAGTTGGAAAAGTTATCGAAGTTTAGTTGAGAAATTGTGGGTGGTGAGTCAAATAAGGGTCTACAATTCCTTAATTAGTATATAAGCTCCATTTTATTGTGTTTCAGATGCTTGATCTGGTTTCTCAGATTTGGTGGACCGTCCAAAGGGTACTTATATGCTGTTATTGTGCATTTTTCGACCTCAGGAGCATCGTTCGACTGCAAAGTTTATTGGGTATGCTTTATGTGCGGCCGAGGAAGCTTTAAGAGATGCGGAATGGTTCCCAACTGAGCAGGAAGAAAAGGAGAAAACAGTGAGTGATCCTTCGTTGTGAATGGTGTTACAGTATCCTCAATTAGTTTATTATGTGTAATTTTGTAACTTGAAGAATCCCAGGGAGTCTCTGTTGGTGGAGGAATTGGGAGTATAAGTGATGTAGTGGATGCTGCTCAATTGATTTGTGAAAAGGTTGGGTTTTTACATCATCTTTTGCCAAATTACTATCGGGATCACTCATTTATAGAGTTATGGATTTTGCTCTCGTGAAAGCTGGCATTCC